ATTAATCTTCTAAAACATTTGTACATAGCCAAAATGCTGCTTCTAATACATATTTATTGATTTCCTTCATTTAGGCCCTGTTGAAAGTCTGGACCAAGGTCTCCCATCAAGTTTCTATGGCAGATTAAGGATCTGAACCTGTGTCTTGAGATCCTAGTTTGACACTAACCACTGCACCTCACTGGTGCTCACATAGAATTTCAAAATATACCATCCTGGAAATAAATAATTTCATCTTAAAATGTATAAGTACAAAGCAGACTAACCCATCCTTCCTTTGATAGTCATTGAGAGCATTTAAATAGGAAATCACCTGGAAAGTTGGATAAATTGAGTTTGTGACAGCAACAATATGTTGAGTTCAAAATCTAGCAATTTTATGGGTCTGTCATCTTCACACTACAGCTACTCACATCTCCCGTGTCTCTCACTATGAACCTGCAGTGATAAAGTTAATTAAAACATCATGCCAATGTGGCTACAGACCATACAAGCTGTTGATCATAAATGTTTCTATATAGTATGTATGGAACAGATTTAATATATTCTTAAGCATGTCAGTAAGCTTTTTGGGCCACACCTATATCAGATGAATGTCAGATTGTTTCTCTATCTGACAAAATGGGCTCTTGCTCATGAATGTTTATACCATTAAAATTTATTTAAGAATGCCACAAGACTCTTCATCATTTTTTTTTCTGCAGCAGACTAACAGCTGCATTCACCCCTTAGGTTATCCATGAGGGCAGCAAGAACAGGAAAAGGAGAAAGCATCAGGAACAAATTCTTTAGATTAAACAGCAGGGAAAACTTTGCAGTGAAAAATGCAGGAAGATGAATGACCTATCTAGAGTCTTAGTGGGTAGGAGGTGGGAGTCACTGAGGCGAAGTGGTAGGAAAACGGTCATGACTCACTGCTGGTATCTTGCACTCACTGCTGGCATCACACTGGCATCAGACCATGGTCAAACTGATGACACATTGTCAAGGAAGGGCTTCAGAACCATCTGCACACTGTATGAGAACTATGGACCGGGTTCCCCTAACAACTGTGCTTGTTCCCTAGTGATGATCGATAGTATTTGCACAGGTTGTTCCTTGCTTTGTTGTTGGCAGAACCATAGAAATGCACCAGAATCAGTTGTTTCCCCACTCCAAACATGATTGGATTTCATACTAATATAAATGATGATGGCTGAGATGATAGCAGCAGCAGCAGAAGAAGAAATTTGAGTCTGTGTGATCAGACTCTTCAGTCTGGTAACTGGACTCCTCTGGCCCAACAGCCTACAAAACATCTTGGAAGAAGTTTTACTTCCAAAACTTAAAACTGGAAAACTAATGACAAACCTTGGAGACATATTTTTTTTGAAGCTTTTATGCTCTTATGCAGACATTGACTGTATTCTCACTGAATTTGACCCTAAGGGAATGACAGTGTGAAGCTGTAATTCACAAAACTTCTACCTCTAAAAACCTGTTTTTGATGGGTACAGCACTTTTCCTGCCTTACTCTTCTCTGAGGATCTGAATGGGGAATAGTAACTGTATGTTAATGAAAATGAAAAATACTGGAAGGAGACTATGAGTCTGAGTGAAAAGGCAAATTTTTATTCATATTCACAGTTGGGAGGGTTTCTTTTATTTTAACTATTAGGTGTACCCAGGTAGTATTTCCCAAGCGATAAATAAATAAATAAAGCACATCTAGTGCAAGGAAAATAAGGAATAAGAAAATAAGATACTTCTGACCATACTTGGCTTGATTATCCAGAAGGGATTGCAAGTCCTTGGTTTTATTGGATTACAGAATAGTGGAAGACAATGCATCATAGCAGTTTGTCAGCATGGGCTACAATCCATATGAGCTCTTTAGGGTACAACAACCCAATGATAGAAACTGTTTGATGCATTGTCATTGGGAATTAATTTCATATTTACAAACTGCAGATTTGGGAATGTTCCAACATGTCCTGAAACAATTTAACAAACATACAGCAAACTCATATCACATTGCAATTGGTTGGGGGAGGGAGAGATATCTTTTCCAACCAAAGCAATGAAAAGTGAGACATTACACAAAATCACTAATCTACAAAAGGTGGAAAACAAGTAACCCACTAACTGAAAATGTCTACCTCTTGTTTTCAAAGGAGCAGAGCTAAGTATCCTGAGCGAAATGCACATGACATTTGTTCCTTCAGATCTTGATTCAAACATATTAAAACTGAGTGCCTCTTAAGGCAAGTTTTGCAGTGGCTGCTGCCAGGTCTGGCCCAAGTGAGTCTTTCCTCCCTTAGGAGACATAGCAGTACAGGGGCTCTTCCCAGGTCTGTTTTGGTCTCTCAATCCACCCCAACTTCTCCCACCTTTGAATGCAAAAAACTAAGGCTGGCAATATTGTTGTGGTCGCCTAACACAAAAAAAAATGGCCACCAAGATTTTGGAATGCGGTCTTGTGAGATCTCAGTAGGCATTCATTTCTTAAAGTTATAGATGCTACCACTATTATTTAGGGTTTTTTAAAAAACTAGTAAGCCTGATTCTGAAGGGATGGTGGCGGAGACTTTAAAGAGGTAGTATAGTCCATTGGGACTTTGGTAGCCATAACACTTCTCCAAAAAGAAAGATTGACAGGACTGGCTAATAGATTCTTATTAATCTATTGACAATTAGGGGCTCATAGGAAGTCCTGAGAAGGCTCTCTGCTCAACAAACTAATGTACTGGTGTGGATGGGCCTGCCTTAAATAGTCCTCTGCTGGGAGACGCTTGTTTGGATGCAGTGTTGAGGCCCCTGCCACATGGCAGGGGAAAACTCGCTCAAAGCGCGGCTTTTAAAAGCCACGCCAAAGTTGAGACGCTGCGGATCCCCTGGGCCGCAATGCCTTTTCTCCCCGGAGCGATCAGATGCCGGGGAGAAAACACAGTCCTGACGGGGAGCCTGCCGAACTGCGCATGTCGGAGTATGCGCAGTTCAGCTAGGAGACGGGGATGCGCCGGCGCAAGGACGTGCCGGCGATCCCACAGCCAGGATTGAAGTGCCCCTTCGAGATGAACCACCGAGGTAGGTGGTTCTGGTTTGGTCCGTTCTTTCGCGCGGAAGTGCCGGTTCGGGGACGGAAGCACTACGCTTCCCAGATGTTGTGGTGGGATCGTGCCCGTTTGCTGCGTCCCCGAACCGTCCTTCTACCGGCCCAAATTCTTATGTGTGACCGGGGCCTGAGTTGAACAGTGAGAAGACAGACTTACCTTAGCCTGCCACCCTCTGGAATGTTTGGTAAGGACAGTACGGAGGAAGGCAGGAGGGGGCTGGTGTAGGGTTGTCGTCTAGGGTTCGGAAATACCTGGAGATTTGGGGGGTGGAGCCTGAGAAGGGAAGGGGAGTGTTTGGGGTGGGGAGGGATCTCATTAGGATATAATGCCATTGAATCAACCTTAGAAAGCAGCCATTTTCTCCAGGGAAACTGATTTGATTTCTGTAGCATGGAGATCAGTTGCAATTCTGGGAAATCTCCAGCTATCACCTGGAGGTTGGCAACCCTAGGCTGGGGAGCAGCTTGATTTGGTGGGGGACGGCCCCATGTGCTCAAAAATACCCACCACCACTGCTTGATTACTTATTGCCAATGAAGTGCTGTGTCCTGTAGCACATTTTGCTTGAGGCTTTCTTAATCCTCAAACAGGAGTTTTGGGATGAATGACAGTTTACTTGGGAAGGAGAAGGCAGGGAAAGATGTGCTCTGCCAGCTCACTGGATCCAATCCTATGAGTAGAGCTCCCACCTGCAGTTCTTAGGATCCAAAGTGGTTGGGTCCTTAAGGTCTGTTTAAACTACTTTCTTTATTCTAAATTTAATTTTCTCCTGTTTGAGTTCCTTTTATTTCATGAGGAAAACTTTATTATCCCTTTAAAGCAAAACTATCTTTTTTTACAAACTTAATAGCTTGATCAAACTCTGCTAGTAACCACAATGAATATAATGCTTTGTAATTTTGGATCTGATTACACAGATGTGATCTTAATGCATCCATTGTGGAATGAATCATTAAGCTCCTGTAAAGGGCAGTGTTTAAAATTAATGTCCCTAAGAGTTGTTTAACAAAGAATGGACATGAGTGGTAAAAGTAAAATCTATGCTCAGTCTTCTACATGTAGTAAAAAACTTTCAAAGGGAAGATATTTCAAATCAATAGATTTTGAGAGCAAAGGCAGTCATACCTGCCCCAGTGACGTCACATCATCTAAAACAGTTACTCCAATCACATGGATGAGAATATGCTGACTGTTACTTACATCAAAATTTTAGAGAACACTCTTTTAAAAGTACAGTATTGTTTGGCCACAGATAAAAACATGTAGAAAAATCTTTATTACTTTAAAAAAAAAAAAATCCCAGACTTCTGTTTTCTATTTGCCTATTTCTTTTTCTTAGGAGGAAAACAAAAATCCAAGCAACAATCTCAACACATCCACCAGCAACACATTCCAGGTACTTAGATAAGTTATGCAACATTACCTGTAGGAGTTTCCATCTAGTGTTCAAGTCTTCTAGGCGTTTCAGCATATATGGGGAAAGCTGGATCTCAGATGAGGTAAACTGATGAGCTTGGTCATTAACACTGTTCACATTCTCTTTAAGAGGTGCAATTTCTGTTCGATAAACCTATGTAAGGAAACACATAAAATGGAGTTGCAGGTGAAATAGTATCTAATAAACAGCCAATACCTATGATTGTGTAAACCTGCATCTGAGTATCTTCCTGCTTCCAGCACCAGTACATGGTTATATCTTGTTACATGGGAGCCTATTATCCCTCTTTGTCTTAATAGACCACTACTTAGCAATTAGAAGAAAAGTAGTACAGTACTACTGTAATCCCAGTACAGTAGAAAAGCTAATATACAATGTTGGAGGAGCAAAATTGAGAGAGGATGAAAAAGAAGTAGAGAAGGCTCTACTTTCTAAAGTCTCTAAAGATGCTGTAACAGCTATGGGAATGGTCTCATCCCTTTAACTCAGTTATAATTCTTTAAGTAAGACTCAAGTCAATTTCATAGATTCCACAAATTATAGCAAAGCTTTTGACTGTGTGGATCATGAATAACTATGGTTGATTTTGAAAGAAAGAGGGCATCGGATTGTTTTGATGTGCAACCTGTACTCAGGCGACTGTTAGAACAGAATATGGAGAAACAGAATGGTTGCCAATTGGCAAAGGTGTCATACAAGGATGTATTTTATCTTACTGTCTCTTCAACCTCTATGCAGAACATATCATAAGGAAAGCTGAATTAGATTTAGATGAAGGAGTGAAAATTGACGGAAGGAACATATGCAGATGAGACCACATTATGTGCAGAAAATAGTAAAGACTTGAAACAACTATTGATGAAAAAGCTGAAAGTGCTAAAGCAGGATTACTACCAAACTTCAAGAAGACATAAGTAATGATGACTAAGGAATTATACAACTTTAAGGCTGACAATGAAGAAATTGAAATTGTTGAAAATATTCTATTCTTTGGCTCAGTCATCAATTAAAAGGGAGACTGAAACCAAGAAATCCAAAGGAGATGGGAAGGGCAGCCATGAAGGAGCTAGCAAAGACCCTTAAGTGTAAGGCATGTCCACTGGTCACCAAGATCAAGACCATTCATACGATGGTATTCTCCTTTACTATTTATGGGTATGAAAGTTGGACAATGAAGAAAGCTGAAACTTGAGTCATTAATTCAGAGGGACACCACAAATCGGAAGCGAATTGACAGCACTTAACACACACATTAACTGGGGCACAGATGTTTTAAAAAACCGAAACAGGAAAACATTAAGGAGAAAGAAACAGGTTAAAATTAGACAACTCCAGAGGACACTCCTAGATGCTATATAGATTCTGAAACAATGTTCTGGCGTCCTTTTAAAACTGGCTGTGAAGATTCAAAGCAATATATTCTGCCATAATACCTGGCTTGGCTTATGGACTTAAGAAGATATTGAATAATTTGATTTCCTATATTAATTTTCTTTCATCTGAAGAGCTACAGATTTCATTTTCTACTTCTGTTTGCAAAGGTGAAATGGGTTTTTCACTAGACAAAGTTCTGTGTTTCTGCTGTACTTTTTATTTCTATGAAAAACAGATCTCCTTTTGTTGACCAAATTTGAAAGATGAATAGAGTGGAATAAGTATGGACATATGATACAGATTACAGCTTTTCTTTCTGATACGTTAAACACTGATTAACAATTAACAAGATCATATAAAACTGGCAAAAAAATGAATGCTATCCTACCCTTTTGAAAGAAGGCCCCATAAAACCATACTGTTATGTATTCTGAGCATTTAGAGTGTCTGGGGCAGCAGGACAATGTTTAGATTCCTTGGGATGAGAAAGCACTGGAGACTTAAGGTGTCAAAGCATAAGATGGACCAGGTGTTCCTACAATAGATAATAATGAATTAATTTGTGCATTCTTTCCAAGGTGGCACCCAAGTTTCCAGCTTCCTTCTGCAAGAAGATTTCAGCTCTCCACCCAATCAAAACATCGAACTACAGTTTCTGGGACATATATATGCATATGCACACTGCATTAAGCAAAAACATAAGTGACCTACAACAGGTTGTTTTTTTTTTTAAGCAAAGTCAGTTTGCTTTCATTGAGATACATGTAGGTTTGTTGGTGTGTGGTCATTTACAGTTTCAATGGAAAATATATTTCTGTTTGAGTTATACCTTTTTGTTTTCTATTCATTTGGGATGCAATTTTCAGGGATTGTACTCCCCCCTCACTACCATGGACCTCCATATCACTAGGAAGTACAATCCTACAAAGAACCTACAGTTTATCAGATCAGTGTTTGACTCTGCAAATGCTGGAGTATTCCTGCCACTTGGGAGAGCACACACTTGTCCAGCTGGCATCTATATTTATCAGTCATTCTGTCATCGGAATGTTTGGGTTCAGGGAACCTTTGATCTCTTGGACAGTGCAATTCTACTGCACACCAGTCTTTGTATGAGGCCAGAGTTCAACTGAATCTTCAATCTGTTGCAAGATTATCAGGTAATGTTCTTGCTCATACCATAATCCATTTACAGGAGTCTACAGTTGTAACAGATAGCACGGAAAGATGCTGCTTGGTACAGAGAGTCAGGGAGATTAATCTTCCCTGGAGAGAAGAGCTCAGGTGATTGGCTGCTCTGCTCACTCTCTGATTGATCAGCATTCGCTGGCAGAATAAATAAAACAGCTGATCTGGAGGGAAAAGAGGTATTTTCACCTTTGGAATGTCACAATTTGGTCTTTCTAATGTCAGAAGCCAGAGGGTTTGGCTTCTGAGGGAAGAGGCATTTGGGGAGTCAGTGTTGTCTGACAGGCATTGTCTAAATATATTAACACTGCTCTGAGGGAGAACTTAGATTCTCAGTAAGCAAAGTTACAGAACAACCTCATACAGACAAGGATAATGGAGAAGGATTTGGCAGGAAGTCTGGGAATTTAGAGAGAATCCCAGACAAGCTAAATAGTAAAAGGAGTTATTGCTTCTTAGGGACAAGAAGAATAACTTCCTGCCAGTGAAAGGGGCTGGGAAGAGAACCCTGGTCTATGATAAAGAAGAATAGCTTAGACACCACAGGAGTTAATGAAAAGCTGTATTATTTAAAGGAAAACCTGTAATATCTGAAGGAAGAAATCTTGAAACATCAATAAGAACTATGTTGTGCTGAAATATACTAAACAAAGTACCTCTCAAAGAAAGTAAGAAATAGAAAGTCTTGAAACAAAACTACAAATACACTCTCTTGAATGTTCTATTAATTCAACTCTGTAAATATTAGAGTTTTTACCTCAGCAATCTCAAAACCTTGACTATTCCCATTTTTACATATATTCCCTGCCTGTTCAATAAAACTTTTATTCTGTTTTTGAAAGTTAATTTGCCTCAAGTGCCATTTCTCAAGGGTTTACAAAACTGGACAACTCCTGTATTCTCAGTAGAGTTCCTCAGCTGAGAAAAAGCCTAAACTAAAAATCTCAAACATAGGGTGGGACAGTCAAATCTTTTATGACAAAGAATATATATACACTACTGTAGGGCAACTCAAGCTTCTGAGGGGAACTGAAGATCTGGTGGGAAAAATCTGCCAGACAATTGGGGAGATACAGGGGTTCATCATAACAGTACAGAATGCGTTTTGCCCATCTCTCTTATGTACCTATAACAACAGATGGCTCTAAGTAGGGTTGGGGTACATGTTAAGGCTTACACCCTATCAGTTGGCCATGTTCTCAAAGGGAGCAATTGCTCTACATCAACAACTTGGAGCTCCTAGTGATTTATAATTGTTTCAAGTCTGTCTTCTGAATCTGCAAGGCAAGGTAGTAGTACAAGGCCAGCTGCAGCACATCCACAAAATACTGCACCAATAGGTGTTCTACAAAACAAACCAGAAAAATACAAGTATATGAATAATCTGAATTAAAAGATCATTATATATCCCCATCCATACTACACAGGTGAGGGGACGTGATGTCCATAACACTGTCTTGTCTTGCTGTAGATTTTGGAAGGAATGAGGGCTGGATTAAGACTTTTAGGGGGCCTAAGATTATGGTTCACCTCATACGTAATTCAACATAAAAACAATACTAAATTGTTACATTATATTTTATTTTTCGAAATGACACAAAACTTACATGTATGCTGAAACTAAAATAGGTTCTTTCTAGATTTTCTGACTGCAAAATTCTAGATAAATTCATTGAAGCTGACTCAACAAAGCATGTGTGCTTCCATAGATGGTAGGGACAGTGAATCCATTCTGACCTGACACATTGTTCTCTGGGTTTTTTATTCTTTCCAGTTCAGAAAAAAGCATTCTATGGAACAGTTAGTAATCATAAATGTTAGAAAAATGTGTAGTGTGATCCTCAGATTTGATAATACAAATAGTATTCCATATTTCACTTTTGGGTCATGAAGATCAATGTATGTTTCTTTGTACGTTTCACCGCTCCTCTTCATATGCAGTTCAAGTGTATCAATTATAGTGTAGTTAGAAGTTAAGTGAAATTTATCTTTAAGATTCAGTGCTGCTTCTGGTGCACTGTCATCATTTGCTTGTTTTTTTCCTGATTCACTTGTGGGACTGGGCTTCTTTGTAGTTAGTATCAGGCAAGAAATCCTTTGATAGGTCATATCTTCTGAAATCATTTTTCAAAATGTGCAAGTGGTCTGCTAATGATTGGCAGATTCTGTACAAATCCAATTCTTTTTCTTGGATAGACTTGTGCAGTGTCAGTATTGTAAAATTTCACTCTACATGGTCAACTCTGCATGGTCAACTCTAATGATTATATCTTGTTTGTAATGTTTTCTGCCGCTTACGTAGCTTCTAGCTTTTGTGATTGGTCTTCAACTATACTTTCTAATGTATCCACAATCTTTGAGTAGGACTCTAGAATTGCACCAGTTGCTACCACATGTGCCTCCAAGGGAGCATTAGAGATTTCAACACACAATCATCGTCCAACTATGTTTTAAGAACTGCCAATTGGTGTATTGAGGCAGAGGAAAATGTATAAAGTAATTGGACTGTTGAGAAAAAAATTCCTGCCCTTGGACAACAATCAACAGCACTGTGACCATATATAAAGGGG